TAAATGTGTAAAGGTCTTTTTTTTAACTATATTCTGTTAAGTCTTAATTCATATATGTGTGTGTGTGTGTGTGTATCTCACTGGTTCCCTTTAGCTCAATCTAATGTGACAGACAGCGTGTTGGAGGTGGTAGCATACGAGGCCAGGAGGCTCTTCAGAGACCGACTAGTTTCCTCCAAAGACCTTCACACCTTTGATAACATCCTCTCCTCCATCATCCGAGGGGACTGGGGCTCTGATGCTCTAGATAACATGACTGGTATGGGATGGCTGTGCTCTTGCTTCTAATTCATAAGCCAAATATTAGGTCTGACCATGAAAGACTGTTACTGAACGAGGCTTTTAAGCAGTTAATGTCAATATTACTGGCTGGGCATGTCTGAATGAAAGCAGTATTTGATTAGAGCGCTTTTTGACAGCTCTGCATATAGATTTACACGTGGCAATATCTCTGTTAATGGTCTGTTTTGAATAATAAACTAGTTATGATTTTAATTATTGATTTTTTTCCCATTTGCTTTGCTTGCTTTCAGTGTGTCAACAGAGCCAACTCTGTGCCTAGTAGTATGTCTTATTCACTGATTGATAAAGTTCTGAGATTTCTTCTGGACAATACCAGAATGACATCTAGTGTTGTCCATGTTGTACACAAGCTTTACTTTGGACGCTGTGATGTTACAAAGATTAGAGTAAAAGATAAACCCTGACCCCTCTGTTCCCTGAAGAAGAGGAACGAGGTACAACACATAAGTATGGGATATCACGCCCTTGCGTGTCCTGGCTGAAGAAAACCTTTATTCATGCCTTTAAAGCAGATGACGTGTGATGGCATGCGCAAGGCCCCGCCTGCGCATATAGCCGCTGTCATCACAGTCATCCCTCAGTTCGATAGCCGCTCTTCACTGAGCCAAACTTCTCAGTGGGGCCACCTTGTGTTGTACCTCATTCCTCTCCTTCAGGGAACAGAAGTTATAGACATAACTATTCGTTCTCTTTCAGTCGATTCACTTGGTACAACACATAAGTATGGGACATATATATACGCCCCGCAGAGCAGCCACCGAAGCGGAATCGGACCACCACCACCTTAGTGTGCGGTAGACCCAGCAGAAAGGACAGTAGGAGCCACTGAAGGGGCTATAACGTCCAACCGATAAAACTGGACAAACGTGTGCGATGATGCCCAACTAGCTGCCGTACAAATATCAGCTACATGCACCCCTTTAAAAAGAGCCCATGAGGTCGCTATTCTCCTGGTGGAATGAGCTCTCACCCCCTGGGGCAAAGCAAGACCTTTGGTGCTGTACGCCAGTGAGATAGCTTCTATACTCCAGTGGGACAGCCTCTGTTTAGACAGAGCTCTACCTCTAGTTGGATTAGTGAAGCAGACAAACAGCTGGTCACATAAATGCACATTCTGAGTGCGCTTAATGTAGGTGCGTAGCACACACACTGGACAAAGAGATCCAAAGCATCCTCCTCTGCTTCTCAGATGCAAAAGGAGGGGAGCAAAAGCTCAGCAACTCAAACTCCATTGAGCTATAAGATGCAAGCATGATCTTGGGAAAATAGGCAGCATTTGGACGCAATACGACCTTGTGGTCATCAGGAGAGAACTGTGTGCAGGAGGGATGCACAGACAGCGCATGAAGGTCACCCACTCCCTTTGCCAAAGCCAAAGTGAGAAGTAATGCAGTTTTTCACAAGCGCATGGCACAACATAGAAGAGCCACCTCCACAGGACAAGACTCAGCTGTCCATCTGCATCTAAAGGACAGAGGACACTCTTTCGAGGATGCCAATGTTCACATTTTGGGCAGAGAGGACAGATGGTTTGAAAGAGGAGTGAAAGAAGCCATCTATGTCCACTGTGAGCGACCATCTTTGAACAGAGGCGGTGGTTTACGACACCAACTCTCTGCCATCTATAATCCAGTTTTGAGTTCCCTTCCCAGACGCCTTAATGTCCACTCACATCCTGGGCCATCTGACCTCAGGAATTCGCATGATAAGGTGGGGCCAGGTTCCACAATGAACTCACCCGAAACTCTGGCTGATTGGGACCCACACCCAGTTTCACACCTTGACTCAGGCGATTAGAGGATCATCAGGGGGTCCTTTTGTCCCTCTGTGGGGGGATACTCCCACTAGGTTTATATCTGGGACCCTCCACCATTTGACCTTAGAACTTAGGAAGCTTCTCGGATGAGAGGTGAAACGTCTTCAAGTAACTTAAAGAAGTCCAGACGCTTTTCTTTGCAAGCTCCTTTGACTACGATGACCTGGATGACTGAGAACCTTCACAGACAATGCAGTCTTATATGATCCACAGACTCAATGGGTTCAAACGGGGGGCTATATAGGGCCTCCAGCACCAAAGACAAGTCCCAAGCAGGGACACTGGACTTAAGCACGGGTCTCAGCCAGGGAACCCGTTTCAGAAAACGTATGGCAAAGGGATGTGCACCTGGTGTCACCCCGTCAAAACCAATATGACAAGCAGATATAGCTGCTAAATAAACCTTAATTGTCGAAAATGAAAGGCCCTTATCCAGCAGCTCCTGCACGAATGTCAAAACATCCACAATAGAGCACTGAAATGGGAGAGTGTGGTGGACCAGGCACCATTGCTCGAAGGCTCGCCATTTGTAAGCGTACAAGCCTCTAGTAGATGAGGCCCTAGCGCTCTGAATTGTTGCTATCACACTAGGTGGCAAACCCTTAGCAATCAAGTTTAACCTCTCAGCAGGTAAGCATGAAGGCGCCACAGATCTGGCCGCGGATGAACCACTTCTCCTACTGCTGAGAGAGGAGGTCCCTGCAGAGAGGAAGCTGCCAAGGACCTGCTACTAGCAGGCTGATTATCTCTGCATACCACGACCTTGTGGGCCACCAAGGGGCCACTAGAATCAGAGGGAGAGACCGCCGACACACTCTCTCTAGAACTGGAGATATCATTTCCACTGGGGGAAATGCATACAGGAGCACATCTGGCCTTTGGTGCGCTAGTGCGTCCATGCCCAAGGGTGCATCGTGGTTGATTATGTAGAAGAACAGGGGGCAGTGAGTATTTACCCTGGAGGTAAAAAGATCTATTTGCGCCTTGCCAAATAGATCCCTAATCTGAGCCACTATTAAAGGGTGTAACCTCCATTCTATCACCAGAGAGAATGGAGGACCCCCCCATGGAGAGAAGGTCCGGCCCCAGGTTCAGGTGGCTCTTAGAGACACAGCTCTAAGTGGTTGATGTGCAGCCCGTGCTGGGTGGACCAGATCCCTCTCACTGATGCACCCTCTTAGGGAAGCATCTGAGGACACCACTTTGCGAAACAACACCCTCCCAATCCAAGAGCCCTGATGCAGCAGCCCGGGCTCCCTCCAAGGACGGAGAGCTAGCATGCAAGATGCGGTTACCGTCAGCCTCCTCCGGAGGTGATGTGATGCAAACAGGCGGTGAGAGAGAGTCCAGCGTTGAAATGCTCTCATCTTTAACTGTCCAAGTGGCACTATGGCGATCATAGATGACATCATGCCCAACAAATGTAATATCGTCTGGTAACGCAGTCTGCGTCCCAGCTGAAACTGAGCGAGACAGTAAACGTTTCTCAGACAAATGTGCTGGAAAGCGAGCATATTTCCAAACCGAGGAAAGAAATCAGCTAACTTGGGATTAGCGAGCTCTTTTGAAAGTTCACAGAGAACCCCAGTGTCTGAATGTGTGACAGAACCAGCGACAGCTGTGTCTCCGCCTGCTCTCTGGAGCAAGCTACAAGAGCCCAGTCGTCTAGGTAGGCTAAGATGCGGGATGCCTCTCTCTCTGAGGGGCGGTAGCGCTGCCTCAGCACATTTTGCAAAAGTGCGAGGAGCGAGCAACAGCCCGAACAGCAGCGCCAGGTATTCGTAGGCTACGCCCTCGAATGCAAACCTCAGAAACTGCCTGTGTTTCGGGTGTATAGCCACATCAAAATAAGCATCTGTTAGATCGATTGTTGCAAACCAATATCCCGGGCCGACTGCATTCAAGCGTTGTCTGAGTGTTAGCATCTTGAACCTGTACGTTCGTAGATATGTGTTCAAGACTCGCAGGTCGAGGATGGGACGAAGCCCTCCCCTTTTTTTTCGGAACAACAAAATAACGGCTGTACCAGATTTTGTCTGTCTCCGAAGTGGGGACCACTCGTATTGCTCTTTTCTGCAATAGCGCCTTTATTTTGTCTCTGAGTATCACGGCTGCCTCGGTGCCGACAGTCGTGTTTACGAGTCTCCGGAAACGAGACAGTTTGACCCGGAACCGGTAACCCATGGCAAAGGTTCGCAGCACCCACGGAGAGGGGGCACAAGCGCGCCACTGAGGGAAGTGAGCAGCCAGACGGCTGACCTGCAGCACCGACGGCGGGGCGTTGTTGCCCCCCGGTGTGTCTGCAGGGGACTGCACCACCTGCCTGACCTGGCTCATTCTGCCTGCAGGCTGAGCATTTGTGATTGTTTGAGAATAAACAACACTCTTTATTGACTGTAACATGGAAACATGTACATTCATACATTTTGTTGGATGCACCTTTTCTGGGGCACAACAATGAAAAACAGCAGGAACACTTGATGTGGTCACCTGAACATTTAACACACCTGAACAGGGAGTTACAACCTGAGGCATTTTGTGTGCAGGGGGTTTGTGCTTGGGAGACAGTGTTAGGACATTGACTGGATAATGCTTGTCTTCAGACTCAGAAAGGAGAGGGTCATGCCGTGCGACAGCCAAGCGTCCCAGCACTTTTTCCACAAACGTCACCCATCTTTCCAGGGTCGAGCGCCGGCGCTGGCAACAAAACGCACATTGACGGAGCTTTGGGCTCCGTCAATGTTCTCCTAGTGTGGACGACCCCCAGGCAGACAGGGCAGGCATCGTGCTGTTTGCTGTCGTGCAAAGAGAAACCGCATCCCTGAGGAGGGGCCATGCACATGTCATCACATGTCATCTGCCCTGAAGGTGTGAATAAAGGTTTCTTCAGCCAGGACACGCAAGGGCGTGATATCCCATACTTATGTGTTGTACCGAGTGAATCGACTGAAAGGGAACCAGCTCACTGTGTTAGCAATAATACTATGTATTGTGTTTAATAATGTGCTTTACAGCAGTCTGGAAATCTGTGAAAAGATGTAGCTTTTGCTAGCTTTTGTCATAAAAATAGCACTGAAAACCCTTATAGAGAAAACTGGCTCGGTTACAAAGAGGCAGAAAAACAGGTCTTGGCTGCTTAATAAATATAATATAACAACATATTTGTACCCAAGGCCCTTGAATGTGCTTAACAAAGGTGTCCAGTTCTGGCAACTATGAAGCACAGACAGAAACTTAAAAGATAATTGATCTTTTCATCACATCGGCTCATGAGGCTAGGGTGTCGTGTCAAGAACCAACTCAGTAAGAGTTTAGCCAATAATGTGTAGAAAGCTTTTAAATCCAATCTACATTTTAATCTAATCAGCTTGTAGATTACCTTGTATCCCCAGTGAGGAATGCCTCTCCCAGACTGTGGCAACCTGGAAAACAGGGATTGCAAACTCAAATTTCTTGTGGACAAGTTGCTTATAAAGGCACAAACTACATTTGAGAAAACAATTTGATGTCTGTTTGTTTGTCAACAACATTGTGCAACAATTAACCACCCTCATTTTAGGAAATCTGGTGAAGATGTGAATCGTGGACAAAGTAAAAACCCATCAAAGCTGATTGCAAATCTGGATCACTTTCTTTGAACTGACAAAATGGGCCATTTAGCCCTGATGGTGATGCACTCTCTGCACTTCTGTGTTTCATACACAGTTGATTGCTAGTACAACACTGTCTATGCAGAACTTTTAATTTTTCTTAGACAACCTCAATGTAATTTAACA